AAAGATGGTGTGAAGCAGTGTCTGGCCTCCTCTACCTTTACATACAGGAGAAAGACTAAAAACCAACAGCCCCTGAGAATGGGGTGGAAAGGGGGAACCGATGACAAGGATCTACATATAACCTCCTCCCTAGGGGACGACAACAGAAAAGTGGGTGAAGGGAGACGTCAGACAGTGCAAATACGACAAAATAATAATTTATAAATTATCAAGGGCTCATGAGGGAGGGGGACCAGGGAGGGAGGGGAAAAATGAGGAGATGATGCCAGGGGCTTAAGTGGAGAGCAAATATTTTGCGAATGATGAGGGCAATGAATGTACAAATGTGCTTTACACAATTGATGTATGTATGGATTGTGTGTGATAAGAGTTGTATGAGCCCCTAATAAAATGATTAAAAAAAACAAACCAACAGCCCACAGGTAATTCCTGAGGTAAAGGTCAGGTATGTCTTTTTACCAAATCTGACAGTAACTCTCCCTCCCTGAGCACTCTCTCCTGGGAATTCATTGGAAGGTCACAAGGGATCACAGATAATACTCACTATTATGGTGTTAATTTGGGACTTTTGACAGGTTAGAATTCAGGATCAGAAATGCCCGGGATAGAGTTCTCCATTCAGAATAGTCTCTTCTCAGTTTTGCTCCAGGCTGCCCTGACCTGAAACCTGTACAAAGCGGTTTTAGCTCAGCAATTAAGTACCTACTTCGTCAGTAAGCCATGGCCTAAAGGCACTCAGCTTTAGTTCCTGGGTCAGCAAACTTCACTCTTCTAACCGTTCTACCAGCAAGCCTCCTGCCCACAGGTGCTCTATGGGAGGGAAGTCCACTTGGCCATCTCCTCCTGGTCTCCTGTTCTCTGTCTCCAGAATTAAGAAGTCACATTCCACTCCTGGATTTTTTTTCATGATGATAATAAGATCCCTTTTTTCTGTCTCTGGATGGCTTATTTTAAACCTAGCAGGATGGCAAGGCTGACCAATCCTCTTGTTAGGGCTCCAAACACCTTATAAACACGTCATATGCATCATCCTATCCCACAAGGGTGGCATTATTAGTAACATTATTAGCAAGCTAGCCAACCCTCTTAATGGGCCAAAACACCTCACACTTGCATAGTTCTACCCAATCATTGGGTAGGAATTAAAAGGACTATAAGGACGATGGCAAAAAGGACATATACTGCACTGCCAAATTACATCATTACGTTACTGCCACACCACTGAGTTTCATGACCCAATCAATTTGGCACAGGATAACATAGAATAGCAAACCTTGCAGCCAGCATTACTCTTGCCTACCACCCAGACATTCATTACTACTAGATAGATGTACATAATGCACAAAAGTCAGATCAATCTTTTACGATTGTCATAAATGTGAAATAACAAGATAGTGAGGAGTAGGGATATTGATTGCTTGTTTAAAGTACCTCATGCAACTTAGAATCTTGTTACTTTAGAGCAGGGAGTGGGTCCATCAAAGGCCCTCGAAAGATCAATGGCAGTGAATGGCTTATGCCTCGTCAAAGAGAAGCAGTTCCAGCTGTCACCTTAGTGTCAAGTTAATTCAATGTTTGACCAGATATAGCAGGCTAATTTTTAAATTGATAACTTTGGATGGTCCAAAAATAATGCTATAAATATCCAAATGGCCCTTGGTGGAAAAATAGTTTCCCCATCCCTGCTTTAGAGCAATAGGATACTCTATAGGCCAGTGGTTTTCAATTCAATCTGCACAGTAGAACAGCCTGCCAAAAACAAACTCACTGCTGACGAATCAATGCTGACTCATAACGACCCTTCCATGGGTTTCTGAGACTGGGATGGGGGTAGAAAGCCCAGTCTTTCACAAGGAGCTGCTGGTGGTTTTGAACTGCTCACCATGTGGATTGCAGCCCAATATGTAACCACCATACCAGCAAGGCTCCTAGAATCACCTACCAAGTCCTAAAAAATACTGGTGGCCCAGCCTCACTCCAAATAAGTATATCAGAATCTTGGGAGGTGTGGCCTAGACATCAATATTTTTCAAGAACTTCTTAGATGATTCTCATGTGCACCCAGAACATATGATCACCCCTCTTCTAGGTTTATAATTAGGTCATTTTATTTAATAACATTTCTACTTTTTCTAACTTCAAATGTAGTACCTACACAATGCAGAAAACTAGGAAAAGTATGACATAATTTAAAAGGATAATCTAGAATTCTTTTGCTACATTTTTATATCATTTGTGTCTTTTTTATGTGTTTACGTGCATGAAAATAGGCCAAATATTACATATTTACAATTAACAAGAATATGACAGATTTCAGAGCTTTAAGTTGTCTTTAAAATCACCTACTAATAATGCTCTCATTATATAGATGAAGAAATTAAGGCCAGAAATCCCTGACACAAAGGGCTTCATTTTATTCGTGTGGAGTGAGTGTGGCACCGGTGAATTACTTAGTATGGCTCTACTAGCCATGGAGTCTACACTCACTGCTATGGAGTTGACTCTGATTACAGAGACCCGAGAGGACAGGGTAGAACTGCCCAGTGGATTTCCGAGACTGGCGATCTTTTATGAGAGCAGAAAGCCTCTTCTTTCACCCATGGAGCAGATTGTGGTTTCCAACTGCTGATTTTGTGGTTAGCATTCCAACCCATAAGCCATTAAGTAATGGCTAGCATATAGCACCAGGCGGCTAGCTATGATAAAGGAATAAATGATCTGGAGTTCATCACTGAGGTCAAAGGTACTTTGATTTGGTTATAGTTAGAACACCTTAATTCTAAGGAGAGAACTTTGAAAGAGAAGGAACATAATTTCAATGACCAACATAATGCTTTCAATGTTCACTTAAAAATTATGAAAGCATAATACAGAGGTTTGAAAATCAGACAAAACTGCATAAAAACTATTACCCGAATATAATATCATCTTATTTTGCTTTATTTTACATAATTTTAATTAGTCAGACCTTTGTATTATATTTCATTTACTAAACAGTTGCTCTTTTTCAATAATAGCTTAAGCATTATGGGATCCAAGATGATTAACATATAGCTTTGCCCTCTAGAAATTTAGGAAGGAGTTGGACTGGGGTTGGGGGAATGGGAGGCACATGCTCATGGAATAAGTCAACACATAAATACAGTGTGTTGACATGCTATCATGTCAAATATATTGAGACCAAAAAAGAAGCGAAATAAGGCCTCGTGCTTTGTGAAGCTCCGGGTAAACTTCAAAGGTTCATCAGACAACTCGGAAAAGGCAGAAAAGTAAAAAGCAAGAAAACAATCTACAAGTTGGGTCCTTGTATGATCAGTTATATACATTTTAGAATAGATTAGTGATTAATGGATTAGTAGAAACCTCCATTTGTGCTTTGCTCAAACAGTCTGTATGAACATACATTATTCTTTAAATTAGAAAACAAAATAGAGGTGGACATATTTAGTGTATTCAGATCATCACTAACTTCAAGAGTCCCAAGTCTTTTGTTTGGTTTACAAGGGCTTTTCCAGCCTTACCTCTCAACTATACTCTTCACAGCCCCAACTATAGTCACTTCAAAACAACTTTCAGGCAAAGAAATACAGATTTAAAAATAACAGTCTTCACACTGGCAATTTTTAAAATCACAAACTGGTGGAATATAAATGTTGCCAATTTCTAACATGTATTTTGCAATACATTAGTTTATTCATTTTTACTTAAAAGTTTATTTTAAAAATTAACAATTTTATTGCTATATCATTCTCATCATATATTCAATTGTTTACCCATTATTTAAATAAGTTTTGCATATAACATGAATGTTTAATGAAAAGTCCTTATAAATGGTCGTATGGTGAATATAAGAAGTAAATATTTAAAAATTGTGATGATTCTACAACTCTTGTTAATGACTGACCTATTGAACTGTATGGTTTATGAAATATATGCCAATAAATCTGTGGGTTTTTTTGTTTTTTTCCTGTTTTTAAGTTCATACTCTTTGATACACCAATTTCACTTTTGCAAATTTAACTTTAAGTAACCTGATGGTTCAATGATTAAGTGCTGTGAGTGAGACTAACCGCATGCTTGGTGGCTTGAATCTACTCAACACCACCTGAGAAAAAAGACCTGGTGACCGTGTTCTGAAATTCAGTCATGAAATCCTTCAGAACATTTCAACTCTGCACCGATGGTTCCCCAAAGGTTGGAATTGACAACTAACAGCAACAACAAAGGGATTCTTACAATAATGGTTAAATATGTGTGTTTAAAACACCAGAAGATAGTTAGATGTTCAATAAGTTATGATTTAGGTATGCAATTGAATTAAAACGTAACCATTGCAAATAATGGTATCGATTTCATGACATTAAGAGAGATCATGGATACTGTGGCAGGCACTCCCCACGAGCCTTTGGAGAGAAGCAGATTAGCCTTTTCCATAAGGAAATTGAAACATAAAGTGGTCACAGAATTCCACAGTGAAGCCAAGATTCAAAAGCAACCTGCGCTTCTTTCAACCTCACAATGCCGCTTTTGCATCTACACGGAACGGGCACCGCACTCCGTACTTCACGGGCTACGGTCCGAATTAAATAAATTATACGTAAATCTCCAAGAACACCGTAGCCATTCAATCCTCAGAAGCTAAAACACATTCGCTCCAAGTTACAGAACCAGTGGCGAAGCCTGGATGGAGAAAGAGGATTCGAATTTTGAGTTGCCGGGAGCAGGTGCGCGATCCGGAAGCTTTTCTCAACTTCCGGTCCACTCCGGCGCCGGGACTTCCGCTCGGTAAATCAGCGCCTCAAAAGTCGCTAAGACGACGCATCGACCCATTAAGAAGGAGGTGGTGCGCAGGAGTCACTTGTGGAAGCTCTGTCAGTCTTACCTTCCTGTTTTTAAAACTACAAGTCATTTAAAAAAAACCCAAAAGCCGCAAGTGTTGGGCCGGCTTAGGCAACTTCCCGACCGGAAGTGACGCATGTGGTCGTGCGCCGGAACTGCGCTCGTAAAGGGAGGCGAAGAAATTGCGGGCTGTAGCGAGTTTTGCGGTCAGCGAGTCCCTTTGAAGCGGCTTGGCGGCTTTGGGACGAGGCGATTGTCATGACGACCCAGGGGGGGCTGGTGGCCAACAGAGGCCGGCGCTTCAAGTGGGCCATCGAGCTAAGCGGGCCTGGAGGAAGCAGCAGGTGAGGAGCCCGGTCAGCGCTGCTGACATCGGTGTGCTCACTCTGTAGCAATGGGACCTCACGCCCAGCGCTGTGAAAGGATGGGTGGGACACACACAGCACACACACACACACACACACCACACCACCACCACCCACCCCGGGGAGGTAACAGCTGTATTGCGGTGCATGTTTCCATGCCCCAGAGACGCTGATTTCCGCTCTCCCAATAGGCAATGGACTGTTGAACTCACTAGAGTGCTTGGTCTGATTTGAGTGGGTGCATCTGAGGATCCCTGTACCTTATTGGTAGAGCAAGAAATATGGGAAATGAATCGTGGAAGGCTTCAGCCTTAAGTTTCTTGGTTTGGTTTCTTAGGGGCCGAAGTGACCGGGGCAGTGGCCAGGGAGACTCCCTGTACCCAGTTGGTTACTTGGACAAGCAAGTGCCCGACACCAGCGTGCAAGAGACAGACCGGATCCTGGTAGAGAAGGTACAGACGTGTAGATGAGCCAGCCCCGACCTAGAAACCCACCCTCTTCTTCCACGCAGCGTAGGGACGCCTTACTGTGTTGTTATATGGTCTCAGGTTAGTTCCAACTCAGTCGTTTCTATGATCGAGCCCACTGTAGCGTCAGTTCATCTTGTGGAGGGTCTTCATCCTTTTCACTGGCCCTCTGCTTGGTACCTCCTCCGGAAACCAATCCCTCCTGATAACTTGCCCAAAGTATGTGAGATGTCTTGCCATCCTCTTTCCTAAGGATAAGGCTGGCAGTACTCCTTCTAAGACAGATTTATTCGCTCTTATGGCCGGCAGTTCATGGTATATTCATTATTGCTTCACCAGCACTGTAATCTAAAGACATCAATTCTTCATTCTCCCTTATTCATTGCCCAGCTTACACATGCATATGAGGTCATTGAAACTACTCTGGCGTGGGTCAGGTGCACTTTCAGTCTTCAAAGTGTTATCTTTGCTTTTTGAAACTGTAAAGGGGCCAGGGGCTTACGTGGAGAGCAAATGTTTTGAGAATGATGAGGGCAATGAATGTACAAATGTGCTTTACACAATTGATGTATGTATGGATTGTGATAAGAGTTGTATGAGCCCCTAATAAAACTATTAAAAAATAAATAAAATAGAGGAGAAAGGGGGAACAGATGACAAGGTCTACATATGGCCTCCTCCCTGGGGGACGGACAGCGGAGAAGTGGGTGAGGGAGACGTTGGATGGGGTAAGATATGATAAAATAATGATTTATAAATTATGGGGAGGAGGCAGCGAGGAGGGGGGGAAATGAGCTGACACCAAGGGCTCAAGTGGAACGGGTGTTGTGAGAATGATGAAGTCAACATATGTACTAATGTGCTGGACACAAATGATGTATGTACAGATTGTGATGAGTTGTATGAGCACCTAATAAAATGATTATTAAATTAAAAATAAATAAATTAAATAAACTAAAAAAAAAAAACTGTAAAGGGGTCTTACGCAGTAGTTTTGCCCAATGCAATATGCTGTTTGTTTTCTTGACTGCTGTTTGCATGAATTAAATGTGGATCCAAGTAAAATGAGATCCTTGCCACTTTCAAACTTTTCTCTATTTATCTTGATGCTGCTTATTAGGCCAGTCATGGGAGATTTTGTTTTCTTTACACTGAGTTGTAATTTATACTGAAACCTTCATGAGTAGTGCTTCAAGTCCTTTTTCAGCAATGGCAGTTATATAATTTCCATATCACAGGTTATTAATGAGATTTCTTCCATTGGTGAGGTTGTATTATTCATCATATAGTTCTGTTTTGCAGATTCAGATAGAAGGAGTACTGTATAGTGAAAGGATACAACTCTGGTGCACACCTTTCCTAGTTTTAAACCATGCAGTGTCACTTGTTTTGCTTGCATGACTGCCTCCTGGTTTATACATAGGTTCCAAATGAGTGCATTAAGTGTTCTGGAATTTACATTTTTTGCGATGTTATATGTAATTGGTTATGATTCACACAATGGAATACTTTTGTACAGTCAATAAAATATAGCTAAATGTCCTTTTTTGCTTCTTTAAAACATTTTAATGGTTTTATTGGCACTTGATTCACATACCGTACAATTCAGTAGTTCAGTCATATCACAAAGAGTTTAGTTGTACAACCACAATCAATTTTATAGCACTTTTTTTCCTCCCTGATTAAATCACTTTTAAAATGATTTACCAATGTAATCACCATCAGTTCTAGTGTTCCCTTCCCCCTCCCTTATAAATTGTTTGCTCCCCCAAACCCCTCATCCTCCCTATATCCCACCCCCCTCCGTTACCTCCCCTAAAAACCCTTGCATCAGTTCTTAGCTCTTATGTATGTACCCCTGTGCTTCACAAACTGGAAAACCAAACAGAAACAATAAAAAACTGGGGTGGGAGAGTTGTAAGGATAAAATAATAATAATACAAAGATAAAAATACAAATAGTGATTAAGAAAAAAAAGATGAAAAAGAAAGAAAAGATCACCGTTGATATTTAAAAGGCCAGGTAAGAAATTTTTGTCATGGAAAAACCAAGAAATACTTAACACCTAGAAGAATTTCAGGTTGGGTCAAGAGGGAGGTCAACTGACCAAGTATCAAGCTCAATACAGTATAATCATGATTATTATTATCTCTTTTTGACAGTAAAGCTGTTCAAGACCCTTGCCTGTGGCTAGAGGGGATCTGCCAGCAGCTTAATCTGACTAGACATTCTGCAGATGGGTTTTGGGTTCCCACTGCCCTCCATAGCCTTCTATAAATTGGGTGTTTGCAATTTACGCTCTGATAGTTTTCCCTTTGTCATAATTGAATTTTGTTATTGTCTTTGGATCACTCAAGCTGGTGTGCTTCTTCCATGTGGACTTAGTTGACTCCTCCCTTAGGTGGGTACAGTTCTTATTTGTGCCCCTTCTATCTTTGCATAATTCTACCTTCTTTGTTCAACATTTTGCCCATAACCCAAACCCACTGCTGCAGTGGAATCTGACTCAAGGCTACCCTATCCCAGTAGAGTAGAACTGCCTCACCAGGTTTCTGAGACTAAATCTTTACAGAAGTGGAAAGCCTCCATCTTTCTCCTATGGAGCATCTTGTGGGTATGAACCACTGACCTTGCAGTTAGCAGCCCCGTACTTAATCCACTGTGCCACCAGGGGTCATAATCCTTCAATGTTACAACTCAAGGCTTGAAATTCTTCAGTTCTTGCAGTTACAGAAATGATGAGTGCTTTCTTCCTTTTGGTTTTCTAATTCCAGATCTTTACACATTTCATTATTATACTTTGTCTTCTTGGGCCACCCTTTAAAATCTTCCTTTCAGCTCTTTACTTCAGCATTTCTTCTGTACTCGAGCAACTTTCAGAGTGTCTTCTGATATCTATAGTGGTCTCTTCTTCCTTTTAAATGGCTTTTTTTGCTTTTCTTCTTTATGATGTCCTTGATATCATCCCAGAATTTGTCTAATCTTGTTATTGGAGTTCAATCCATCAATTCTATTTGTGAGATGGTGTGTAAATTTAGGTGGTCTCATTCCTTCTCCTTCAGCTTCCCAGCACAACAGCTAGAGTGATCCTTTTAAGACATTTCGCTGAGCATCTATAGTATTCTATATAACTTCATGATAAGCTCAAACAACAGCCCCCCTTGCTGCTCCTTAAGATGCCAAACCACCTTCCATCTCAGGGATTTTGTATTTGTCCTCCCTGTTTTTTGAAAGAACAGGTGCCTTGTATGATTTGCTCCTTCGTTCCTCTAGGATTCTCCTATGTGAGTTGTGCCTTCCTCATGGCACTCCCTATCCGGACTCTCTACTTACATGCCTCCACATTGCTGTTAGGTGCCGCCCAGTCGGTTCCAACTCATAGCAACCCTATAGACAACAGAAAGCAATACCGCCCCTGCCCGGCCCTGTGTCATCCTCACAGTTGTTCTTGTTTGAGCCCACTGTTGGGGCCGTTGTGTCAGTCCACTCATCTAGGACCTTCCTCTTTTTTACTGCATCCTCCACATTGTGCCTTCCGTTAGGGACTAGACTCACCTGATGTCTCCGTAGCTTTCAGTCTTTACGACATACTTTGCCTGGCTTCTCACTCTTGTAAGCACCCCACAGGCGGGGTCTTTGGTCTTTTGTTCGCTGGTGTATCCCAAGTGCCTGGAAAAGTACCTGCTACCTTCTTTCCCTTTCTAGCTTGTTCTTTTTATTGCTGCTATTAAATCTTTCTTTCATAGAGTCCATGGAGTTTTTACATGGAAGTGAAGGCCATTTTCATAGTGTTATCCTATGATTTTTCATCTTGGTATATTAAGCTGTAGTATATGATGGAAAATTATTAAAATTACATGATAATCTTAAAATATCTTTTTGAAGAATTGTTCAGTTGGTTTGAAATTTAAACTCCCAGACGACAATGGGAACCCAAAATGCATCTTCAGTGTATCTAGTCAGGATAAGCTGCTGGCAGATCCATATGCAAAGGTATGGAACAGCGTTACTATGAAACATAGATCTTTGTAATCCTGATTAGGCTGGATAAAACTTGATACTTGACCAGTTGACCTCCCTCTAGACCCAACCTAAATTTGTTCTAGGTGTAAGGATCTCTTGCTTGATATTTGGATATCGATGGAGGTCTTTTCTTTCCTGCTCATTGTACTTTTATCTTTATATTGCTATTGTTTTGTCCTTACCACTTCATTTTGGTTTTGTTCTCTCTTGTTTCCATTGGGTTTAACAGTTTATGGAGCACAGGAGTAGATGCATAGTGTTAATAACTGATGCAAAGGGAAGGGAAAAAAGAGGAGCTGATACCAAGGGCTCAAGTGGAAAGAAGATGTTTTGGAAATATTGATGGCAACATATATACAAGTGTGCTTAATACAATTGAATAATGGTTTGCCATACGATTTATGAGACCCCCAATAAAATGATTAATTAAAAAAAACTGATGCAAGGATTTGTAGGGGGATTTAGGGTGGGTAGCGGGGGAGAAGGGGGGGGTGAGGGGATTTCAGGTATAAACAGTGAAGATGGGAGGGGGAAGGGTGCACTAGAACTGAATGCGATTACCAGCTCATTTAAAAGGTGATTTAGTCATTGTGGGGGAGGGGGGCTGAAGGGGGGATGTTCTGAAGTTGATTGTGGTAATTATACAATTCTTCTTGACAGGATTGAATGATTGAATTGTGTGATGTGGATTATGTGCCAATAAAACTGAAAAACACATTACCATGTAAAAGATCTGTCAATGACAAATAAGGGGGGTATATCCTTTATAAATTTGGCAACTTATTTTAATGTGGTAAATAAACTCAATGGGTAGTTGGTATATTATTTTCATACAGCTAAATTTCGCAATGCAAAATCATTGCATCGAGGCTCATGTCTGATATTAGCCTCCACCTTTCCTTTCCCATAATGTCCTTTCGGTATTTATGAGGTGCTAGAAAATGTGTGGAATGTTTCTCCCTTCTTTTATTCTCTGGGAGTGTGTAGGTTACATGTTCCCAATCCTTGCACAGTTTCAGTATGTTACCTTTATACTGCTATCAATTTATACATTTCCTCTATTTTCACACGTGCCGATGTGAAGTTGTACATAGAATGATCACTGCAATCATCTGAGGCTCTGTTGGCGTGTCCTTTTCATTCCTGATGTTGAGTATGTGTGTCTTCTGTCCATCATCAGGCTCACCAGAATAGATTTTAGTAATCTTAAAAAACAAAATAGAGCATTTTCTGTTTCCATTAACTTCTCTTAGCTTTATTTCTATTTTCTTAAGTTTAATGTCTTATTTCTCTAGCTTCTTAAGGGGAGCCCTGATAGTGTGGTGGGTTATGCATTGGATTGCTAACTGCAAGGTCAGCAGTTTGAAACCACCAGTTGCTCTGTAGGAGAAAGATGAGGCTCTCAACTCCCATACAGACTCACTGCTTGGGAAAGACAGAGGGGTAGTTCTGCTCTGTCCTAAGGTTGCGGAGTCAGAATTGACTTGATGGCAGTGAGTATGGTTTTGAGATGGATAATTTTTAGCCATCCATTATATATTTTAAGGAACTCTGGTGGTGCTGTGGGTTAGGTAGTGGGTTGATAACCACAAGGTCAGTAGTTCAAACCCACCAGCCAGTCGATCCTCAAGAAGGCTGAGGCTGTGGGTTCCCATGAAGGTAAGTCACAGAAATCATGTGAGGGCTGCTATGAGTCAGAATCAATTTGATGCACATGGGTTTGTTTTTTGACTATGGACTTAAAGTTTTAAATTTCTCAGCGCAACTCCGTGTCCCATAAGTTTTAATGTATAGTATTTTTTAATAATATAAAACTTATATTTTCAATGAATAGTTTTTTACTTCTAGACTACATGTTCTCAAATAGGTTTTCTAGTTGTTTTTAATTTCTCGCTTAGCTGTTTTAGTCAAAGCACACGCGTTGTATACTTTGAATTCTTTGTGTAATCTTAGTTATATTAACCCCTTTTCCATGGTTCAGCAAATGGTTAAGTTTCTGGAAATGTTTATTTGAATAAGAATTCGGAGTTGTTGTGTGGTGTTCCAGATGTGCCGTCTGTTTACTTGTTCTATTGATTGCGGTTCTTAACTCCCACTACGATTGTGGATTTATTTTTTCATTGTAGATACAAAAGTATCAGGCAATCTTTCTTTTAGTCACAATCATGGAGTGAAGGAATGACATCTGGAAAGCCTTCAGAAAACCCAACAGATGGTGAAGATGTCAAATGTTTCCTAGGAGAGTTTTCTTGCAGCAACATGGAGGAAAGAGGTGGTGGTAGAATTGCAGGTGCAAACTTGCTCAGAAACAGGGAATTTGGATTGTTTTAAATTTTACCATTATTGGTACAATGAGTATGGGACCTGAGGGTGGTGACCAGAGATTAAAAGTTTTGTCTCCCCCCAAAAAAAAGTTTTGATGAAACTGAAAGAAAAGGGGATCGGGCCCATGGATTATAACAGGTCCTGCTTGCTACTTAACAGAGAGAGATTCATTTACTCTGGTCAGGATACCAGTTAGACCTGGAACTATTTGTATGGTCTTTCTCTTTTTAAAAAAAATTTGATGTCTATATAAGATAGGCAGGATAATTCATCCCAAGGAGACAGCGACAAGAAAGACGGGTGGGGTGGGCATGGGAGAAGAGAAGGTAGGGGGAAAGGCAAGAGTTCTAAAATTGAAAGGAGGGTGTAGTGTTCCTGGTAGTGCTTGATCAATTGAAGTGTATCTAAGAGGAATTACTGAGAGGCGAAGAAGGCATAAACATGATAGTGAGGCAGGAGGAAAGAAAAAAGTAAAAATTATCTCTATATAAAGTATGTATATATGTAAATATATAACTAGGTGTGTCTGTGTGTGTGTATATATATATGTATATATATACATATATATACACGTATATATATATATATATATAATATATGTATATTATTGTTAGCATCAAGGATTGGAGCTGCCACCCTGCCTTCTAGATGAACTATTTTGCTCTTGAGTCAACCTATTATTCAATATATTTCATATTCAGTGTAGTCATGATTGAACCGAAGAAACTTTCGGCAGGTCACTTCAGTTAAGCAACACTCTTTTAACTTTATGAGCTTTAGTAAAATAAGTTCTGTGTATATATATATATATATACACACACATGTAAATACAAGAAGTAAGCAGATGACTCTGGGCCTCCACCTAAATCTGACCTCAGTACAAAAACCATTTGTTCTAATAATGTGGCATTCTACGAAACTCACTTTCCTGATCTGCTGAAGACAAAATGGGTGTCTAAGAAAATGTGAAGAAAGCTAAAGGAGTCAGATACGGCGTCTGGGGTCTTAATGGCTTGGAGTTAAATAAGCAGCACCTATATAGCAGGGAAGCAACAAAGCCTACCTGGAAGAAGTACACCAACCTATGTGCTCATGAGGTGTTGACAGGATTAATAGTTATCAGAAATTCAAAAACAAGCAATCAAATTGATGGGAAAGAGCGTGAACAAAGTGGAGACCCAAGATCCACCTGTAAAATAATTGGGCAGTCCCTCACAGAAGGGCCACACACAAGAGATGATAAATCCAGTGTGCGCTCTAACAGATGGAACACTCTCCTCTAGTTCTTGAGTATTTCCTTCCCTTGCCATTAAGGTCTTTGTTTTACATTATTATTCTTGCTATACCTGCGTATGTTCATTTGTATACTTAAGATTGTTTGATGCATGAAAGCCAAGATAGCTTACCCTTCAGAAACAGTAACAGGAATAATGATTCCCTGAGGAGATGGGAAGGGGTGGGGAGGGGAGGCTGATAGCAAGGACAACCGTATAACCCCACTCGAGGGGAGTGGATAACAGAACTGTAGGTAAATGGATATAATGGTGGGGAAAGATACTACGGCCAAAAATAATAAGGGTTCCTGCAGGGGCGCACAGGAGGAGATAAAAGGGAGCTGATATCAGAGTTCAAGAAGAAAGAATGTTTCGGAAACCGATTGTGGTAGCAATTATACAATTATGGTTGATCTAATTGAATTATGGAATGTTACAATTACCTGTCAGAGCTCCCAATAAAATTAAACATTTTTTGTTGTTTTTTGTTTCAGCGCTGCTGGGATATCGCCCTGGGTCCCCTCAAACAGATTCCCATGAACCTCTTCATCATGTACATGGCTGGCAACACTATCTCAATCTTTCCGACTATGATGGTGTGTATGATGGCCTGGCGACCGATTCAGGCACTTATGGCCATTTCCGCGAGTAAGTATTCTTGAAATAAGAACCCTTCCCAAGTTTCAAGATTTAAAGGCAGATTCTTCGGCAAATCCTGATTAGAACTCTGACCTAGCTCTTGCCAGTTTGCAGGGGATGGTGTGCAGGGGTGTGGAAATGGTGGTGACATGGAGAGGAAACGCACTTAACGTGGTTTCATTTGCTTCTACTTGTCCCGTTTGCTACCTTATTAGTTTGGTTATATTTATAGATGGTTACCAAACCCCCCCCCCCACCAGTTTCATTTATTCACTCGCACAGGGTGTAACTCTTTCCAGAAACCGATCACTCCATCTTTCTCTCACCGAGTGGCTGTGGGTTTGAACTTCTGACCCTTCAGTTGACAGCCAAGTGCACTTAACCACTTTGCCACCAGGACTCCTAATGGTTAGCTTGATTCCTATTGGGGGCAAACGTTTTGACACCTTTTATTTCAACAGCTTTCAAGATGCTGGAAAGTTCAAGCCAGAAGTTTCTTCAGGGTTTGGTTTATCTTATTGGGAACCTCATGGGCTTGGCATTGGCTGTTTACAAGTGCCAGTCCATGGGACTGTTGCCTACGCATGCGTCAGATTGGCTAGCCTTCATTGAGCCCCCTGAGGTAAGGCAAAAGAAAGTTCACTTTGGGTCAGCTGGACTATTTGATGGTGGGGGAGATCTAGTTGGTATTAGAGATCGGGTCTTAAGTACGAGCTGTTAGGAATTTGGAAGTTGTCTTATTTTAGGAATAATATTACATGATGGATTCTCGGAGTTATTTCAACACTCTTGCACTACTCACACCTATTTTTCTTGTTTCAGAGAATGGAGTTCAGTGGTGGAGGACTCCTTTTGTGAACCCGAGAATGAAGCACTTGGCACCTTAAAGATTGGGATCTCATTTTACATACATTTTTGTTTCTCCTTTTACTTACCTTAAAAATTACCACATGCTGAAAAGTAAAAGGACAATTTCCATACAAACGCACAGAAACTATACCATAACACTTGACTGAAAATAATGTAGAAAACTTTATTTATGTTTCCAGTACAGAGCAAAACAACAAATAAAACTATAACTCTGTAAAGAAAAGAACAGTTGCTGCTAAATCAATCACAGCAGCATTTCCTCTCAATAAATTAAATGTCCGAACAAAAAAAGTTGCACGTTTCCCATAAATCTATTTTGCTTAATATATCACTTATATTTAACACAAGATGGAACATAACATTTCTGCTGGAGACACTAGTGGAAGATGGGAGAAACTGATGCTGGATTCAGACTATATATACATGATGAAAGGAAAAACTGGACAAAGGAGCACAGACTCGGTGTAGTTACTACATTTAGTACCCACAGTAATGACTGTTTAATATGTTTGGGGAAATGAGGATTGGTGGGGTTCGTGGGGCCGCAGGAATCGCAGGCATTTAAAGGTATGGCCTGTCCTGGTGAAATCATGCTTCAAAAGCTGACTGGTCTTATGTGATAGGCAGGAGGTCTTTCTCTTCCCTCTTGAAATACAAAGCCCCTTTCCCCTAAGGTGCATTTTCTTACCAAGTTTTCAGTATTGCTTTATGTGCAGTGATTCAGACAAGACACTGTGCAGACAAACAACACAAAGACATGAAATGCTGTAGACAAGATATGAATATAAGCCTGGCCTGATAACCATTCTTTCATGTAACAATGATTTTGTGTTTTTAGGGATTGAAGTAGAGTACAGGCAGTTCCCTAGTTACAAACAAGGTAAGTTCCTACCTGTGTCTAAGTCAAATTTGTAGGCAAGTCGAAACGGGCAGAGGTGGTTTGGCCTTGTCAGTGACTTAAAAAGCTGCAGGTGAAGGTGACTGTGATGTCTGGTGGTGAACAGGGCCTTGTTTAATCAGTTCCAAACTAGGCCCATTTACATAATATCAATGGGCAAGTCTTAAGTTGGACATTCATAACCCAATGACTTATTGCTGTAATGGCCACTTGCATTAATAACCACAGAATCCCTTATACCTTTTTAAAAGATTCTTACAAAGTTTTGATGATGAGTTCCTCTAAAAGTCACCTAGTGGGACCAGTTTTGTCGTGGGTGGGGCGAATAACCATAGCACTTTGGCCAGGTGTGTGTGTGAATGCAAGGAAACTCTTGGCAGACTGACCTTCAAGACCTAGTATCCATGCTGGATTTAGCTGTACTCAACAACGGAGTGTTGCAGTGAGACTTGTAAACAGTACTACTACCCTCCTGCAGAAGGAGAAAAAGTTCCGAAGTGGGCTTAGATGTTGGGAGAACAAAGTGAACAAATCAAAATGACCCAATTTCTTCAGGTCTGTTGAAGGATTTTCCTGTTTCTAATGGTCAAGTGAACAATCTCCTGGCACCTAAGTAACTTGCTCCATATCCTGCTGGCTAATCAAAGAGTGGCGGTAACAACAAAGCGAAACTTTAAAACAGCCACAAGTGTGGCAAGAATACATTTTTCCCAAATACCTATCATTTGAAATAAAGATTTCAGTACACATCTGAAATTATTGCTCAGCCAGACAGGTAAAAGTGTCCTATGCTTGGGAGTCAGGACTTTTAATGAGTGTTTTATTAGCTAGGGGTGGATGAGGGGCAGCTAAGCTTGCAGAAGTATTTCCTTGGCACATTTAGAGCTTTCTGGAACAAAACGGAAGTAGCAGGCTTGGATAACCTCAGCTCAGAGCCAAGTTGCTGCAGTCAGAATGAAGAATACAATTCAAAGCAAGAGGGAAATGCTCATGTCCGAGGCACATAGTTGAACACCTCAACTTTTCACTAGCCTTGGAGACGACACCCAGGCTTTTAGTGAAAGAAGTTTCTTCAACTAGGCCAATGCCAATTCATATTTCACTTTAGCAACAGAACTAGAGAGTAGCAGCTCGGAAACTCTGGCACTACAGGTACATGAGTATGGCTCTATAACTGCAGGTCCGTTGCTGGATTCCCCCTTGACAAGATAGTCCAGACCTTTTAGGGCACGATCCGGGCCAGTCTTCCTGGTGTGTGTGCCTCTGGTTTTTCTGACCGATGCTTATTACTGAACTAGAGGACATGACAGACAAGAGGGGAACCTATTAGTCAATGTTCATCAGGAGTTGTATTTCTTAGATAACAGCCTTTGTTTTATCCCTGTCACATAACCATAGGCTGTATTTTAATAAGTGTTAAAGAGCTACTTTGGGGTTCCTTTACCTCAACCATCTGAAGTCTCTGAAGAATTATTTACTTTTTTCAAAAGCAATTAGCAGTAAAACATTAGCCATGTTACAACTATAGAATAGGTTTTCTGAGTTGGAGAAAGAGACAACTGAAGTGCACATCGGCACAGTATATACCCTGGGATCTGGCATCATGGAGGGCTCGTGCTGCAGGAAGCTGAGGCTGCAGCCAGGCTTCAGCTTTTATACATTAGGGCCCTAAGCGAAAACTGATTCCTAGAGAGCAACGGATACATGAAAAGCACATGAGCCTATAAAGATTTCCATTTGACTTGCTAAAGGTTGTGCCCCACAAGGGTATTAGGTTCCCATCTACTTGGCCATGCATGCTTAAGATAAGCCTGTGTCTGACTGCTAGCCCAAGGGGGCTATTGTTCAACCAGGACTTCTGAGACTCATTTTAATGTTGGATGGTTCCTTTCTATCCTCAAGTGAATATCTAGCATCACTTTGGGCAATTCAGTTTACTGGCTTAGCTTGCTAATGCTAACTTTATGTTCACTGGTACAAAGCATGGCTTCTAAGATTTGATCATTGCTCTGATGTTCACGGGACATTTTCTTCTATAAAGACAGCATTATATGATCCAGGAGCAAAAAGCTGATCCATTTGTACCATCCTGAACAAGTAAAAGGCCCAGCTCATTCATGGTTTGGTGTGATGTATATGGAATATACATTTCTAGTTGAACGGGAGTGGTAATAGAGGGCTGGTGCTCCCAGGGTCGAGGGAAGTCTTCGTGTATGGTGGAGGCCAAGCAGAGTCATTCCGAAGCAGACTATGAGTAAATGGTGATCACTTCACTGCCACCACCCCGGACCAGGAGGACTCGTTCAAGTCCCTCGGTGAGCACTTCTAGGAACTCCATGTCTTCACAACTTGTCAAGGAGACAAAGGCAGAGTAAGAGTCTATTTTATAACCTGTTATTGTGGAAATCTGAATTGATCAGATCCGAGCTGCAAAACTGACATACCTGTCTTCATTATTCTATGTTCAGAAGTAAAATAGCCTTAACTGTGAATTCAATTTAGCCCTGGAAAAAAATCCAGGGATCCAGACCCTCTACATTTATAATACAAGACACTATTTTCCATTTGTTAGCCTAAATGTTATTTTTTAAATGGGGATACTCAGTGTGTATAACACTCAAGTAATGTGTTATTTTACATAAAAGGGTTAGACAAGATTATATATAAAAAGCCTCAATAAGGCAGCTTATAGGATTCCTCACTGGCATCGGGTCACTTCCAATTCATAGTGACCCTGCAGGCTAGTGTACAACTGTCCCTGTCCTGTACAAAAGAGGCTTTGCAACGAGGGGAGAGCCTGGTCAGGAGAGAAGAAGTGGGTAATCTCTCTCTAGGACTGTCAGAAAGGGTTCTGTCCACTGAATACTAGATGCTGCCTTGCAAATACATCACCTACAAAGTCTTCAGGTTGGCAGAAAATGTATTAACCCTAAACTCCCCAAGAATAGATACATTTCACTACCTTCTAAGAATTCTTGCCTAGGACTTTAAGCAGCTTGCCCTCCTCAACCCAAGGGGACTTGAAATCATCAAGAGCTTTTTTTTTATGGTTGTCTGGTTGTCGCATCTTCAAAAAGGCAAAATAAGCTGAGGGGTCTTTCCCTACTGGCAACTCCATTCGGAGAAAGGATACAGTTTTCATCCCCCTCAGGATTCCTGGGTGGTCCAGGCATATTCAACAAGACCAGTTTTGCGTCATGGGACTTGTTCACTATAACCTCATTAAGCTTGACTGCTGTATGCATCCTCCTCACATTGGACTGGTCCCTGGGGGGAAAGAAACAAAAGTGGTGTACAATCAAAGAGAAAAACCAGCCATACAGTCAACCAAAAAAACCTGCGTTACTTCTTTGATTAACATACAGAATTGTTTTTTTCAAGCTCCTTTCTTAAAAGAACATTTTGGAAATAAACTAAAATTGTCCTTATTTACATTATTTGACCCCACTAAAATCAGGAGTGAGTTGAGGAATTGTGGATTTCAACATTAGGTTTATGTAGGATTTTCAGCATGAATGTTGTGAGGGCCGTCAAGGCAGTTCTGATTCGGTGACCTGTGTACGATGGAAAGAAACACCGCCCGATCCTGCGCCATGCTCACAGTCCATCTTGCCGAGGGCTTGCCTCTTTCCCACTACCCTTCTACTTCACCAAAGCGTCTCTAGAAACTGGTCGCTCCTGAAAGCCTATGCAAAGTAGGCAAGATGAAGTCTCGCCATCCTTGGCTTCTAAGGAACATCTGGCAATCCACGGTACGTACTTTCAATATTCTTCCCAGCACCGTAATTCAAATGTACTGATTCTTCTTCGGTCTTCCTTATTCAATGTTCAACTTTCACATGCATGTGACATGATTAGACATAACGTAGGTTGGCTTAGGCACACCTTAGTTCTCAATGTAACACCCTTACTTTCCAACACTTTAAAGGGGTCTTGTGCAGCAGATTTAACCAAATGCAATGCATCAGTATGAAGAGATGGGGCCAAATCACAAAAACTAGACTTCCAAGCTTCTGACATATCTAGAGGATACCTGGAGCTGTAATGGCTGTTATTTAATGACCTTATTTCCCCCCTTTTTCCTTCCTCTAAGTGGTAAGGAAGAATGGACAACGGATGGGCCAATACTAAAGGGTCCCTCCTTTATATCGACTCCAAGCTCGAGTGCTGCCCTTCTCTGAGGAGGAAGCTGAGTGGAAGGAAAAGTGAAGTCGTTGGCTAGAATATGGAAAGAGACCGAGCTGTGGGGCCTGCAGATCTGGACGTCTACTTGAAAGCCCTAAAGGAAGGTCACTTGCAGTTTCATCATCATAGCACCAGTTACTGTCTCAAATGCTTAATGTGATTTCATTTCATTTTCACAGAAAACATTAAACAATAATTCATTTAAGAGACTAAGTAGTAAAATAATCTAAGCTTCAGAACAGTTAGATTCCCAAACAGGCTTAAGACAATCTCATTACCGCAGGGCGGTTGTGAAGAGTAAATAAGGTAGCAATGGGACAGTATTGTAATTTGAATATACTGTATACATGGAGTAGCAGTAGGAAGCATGCCTGGTTGGCACAAGTGGTTTGTGACTGACTGCTAACCACAAGGTTGGTGCTTTAAACCCAAACAGCAGCTCTGCAGATGGCATAACAGCAGTGCTTCTACACACAGGGTTGTTAAGGGCTCGGAAGCGACTCAACGGCACGCACATCATCATCCAGCCCTGTGAATCGCCCCTTCTAAGTTCATATTGTTCTGTCCAGTCGAGACACCATGATGCATCACTTGAGCTATTACTCTCTGTTTCCTTGTCTTGTTCTGCTGCAACCAAAACATCAACACTTTTACTCCCACTTACAATGTTATGAGAGCTTCCTGGGGGGAAATGTCTACAAGGGGGTGCTGAGTAGGGCTATGTGGGTAGCTGGTTTTGGCTAGTCCTAACAAAGAGCTTTACAATCTTGTGTTTGTTTCTGGTCAGTTCCCTCCTTCTCTTTCCCTACTCTGTATTTTCACCATTCTTCTGAGTGCCACAGGAGACGAGCAGTTCTATGACACTGCATTCGATCCCCAACCTTAATTTCTATAAAAGAGATTTCCTTGGGGGGAAAATGAGTAGCTGATACCAAGGGCTCACGTAGAAAGCAAATGTTTGAGAATGATGAGGGCAACAAATGTACTTGACACAATGGATGTATATATGGAGTGTGATTAACAGTTGCAAGAGGCCCCAATAAAATGATTTTAAAAAACCCACAAAACCTCACCGATACCCCAAAAAAACCAAACAAAAACAGGGTTCCTTGGTTCTTAGCTTCCAAAAAGGAACTATCACTCCCTTAGCTTCTGGTTTCCATATTATCTACACAGTTACCGCTAACAAAACCCTTCTGTACCATTCTCTCGTCATTTAGAATATACTGCCTTGTAGGTGCACTTGTTCTTTCAGGTTGTCACACGGTGCGACCCACTCAACTGAATGCTAATCAATCTAAAAGAATGTTCAATTAAACTATTCAACCTAGAGTTCCACAACTTCCTTTTCCTATCCCCTTAAATGCTGGTGTTTTCTGGAGTTTTGCTCTTGAACTTTTAGTTCTGTCCTGTTTGAGTAATCTCACTTGCTAGCATACGATCAACTATCATGCATCCAGTGATGACTTCCAAGTCTAGGGTTAACTTTCTGAATTTCGGACATATGTATCTAACTACATTATGAACACCTCCACAGACACCTAAAACTCTACTCTCCAAAACTAAGCAAATTTGAATTTGCAATTGAGAAATCAGCTGATTAATGTAAGTGATTTTTAAGAAGTTTGTTGAACGTATGGTAGTGGGACGTGCGTAACTTCTCTTACTCAGCAGTGCAATAGGACATGTCCTCAGCCCTCAAGGGTTCACTCCTACTTCTGTAATGCCCATGTCTGTGCTGTCAAACTGCTTAGTTGCCCAGAACTGTAAGAAGTCCTTCTCTCAATACTACCTTACTGATGCTACTTAAAGTCTAGCCTGCAAATTGTCAGCCTATCAGTGAACTGTTTATTAGTGTTTTCCCGGAGATAAGAGCTAATGCAGTTTAACTCAGATGACTAGGTTTATTCATTGTTTTAAATATAATTGGCCTTCCTCCATGAAGAAAACCGTGTTTTCGTTTACATTCTAGCTCATGCTAGTAAAATCTGACCCTCCCTGAGTAAAATGCGTAACGAACACATTACTGAAAGAATAAAACAAATCTAAACTCTCATTCTGTCCCTATCTCGCTTCTAGCCTCATCTTTGGTCTCCTTATATTTAAGCTGTGAAACCATGTAAGTTGCTGGGCCAAACAACACCGGGTTCTCATAAGGTGCAATGGCTTGGAGGGGGACACCTGGACTCAAGATACACCCAAATAAAATGCTGGTCCTGCCGCAGGGTTCCTGCCTTGTGAATAACTGGGAAAATTATAGCACTTCTGCCTCAGTTTTTTGTTAAATAACAATGATAGAGTCAATACCCCATACAATTTTTTACATCACATGAAATGTGTCCTATACTTAATATGGAGCTTGGTACAAATTAAGCATTAATAAATGTTAGAAACCGCTATTATTTACATGTAGATGTTACTTATCCCCATAAAACTGTTACCCAAATTGTTCGCTGAATATTCCCATTACTATCCTATCACAGTTGATAATGCATCATCTTCTGTAACGTTTCCATTTTCAAAAGCAGATTTTTGTGTTCCTTTATTCAGACCACGTTTGCAGCCTTTCTTACAGCATTACAGTGGCCCCCCCACCCCCCACCCCCGTATTCTAATTGTTTACGGCTATGAGACACTTTAGCAGTGTCTTTTTTCTCTAAAGATAGCTAGATGCCTTCTGATATGTAGCAGGAATCAAAAATATCTTTAGGCAAAATAAAATTTTGTTAATTTCCCAAGTATCTAGCTTATAAATTACTTAGAAATGTTTTTCTTCTAACTTCTGCTTGACTACCTTGTGCATATATTACTCTTTTGACTTGCTTGTCCAGATATTTCATTTGTAATTGTATCTCCTTATGATTATCAGTATCCTGTGTTTTCTCATTCTACCTCTATTTCCTATTTCTTATCCGGAACTATGGGGAGGAACTCTATGGTGAGGAAGACGCGTGACCAGCCTGTGTGCCAACAGGCATGTTAGATAAACAATGCAGAGATGCGTCTGGACCTGAGAGTAAAAGGAAGGGCACATTCTACCCTGCTGCATATCCTGCAGTCACAACTCTGACACCAACTAGGATGTCTTATCATGGGATACGGTGACAGGTGGAAAAACTCACGGGCGCATGTTAAGCAGGTCTTGGAATCCTTCCATTGACTTGGCCTTTTGCCCCCGGGAGGCCATGTACTTGTCTTTTGTCCACGTCATGTGCACCTTCTCCTGATAGGTCTCTGTCTCTTCATCCTCATCAGAGCCAATGCTGGTCAATCGCAGCATCGAGTTCCGGTCTTTCACCAGTTGTGCCTGGGGAAAGTCCAACAGAATTAACACTCTGTATCACATTTTCTCTCAGGCTCAGCTTCATGTTTGAAACCATGCAGGGGGAAGGGACTATGGGTGGTGGTCATAAAATAGCTGATGAAATAAGGAAAACATTTGCTAAAAAAGAAATACAACAGTATTCACACTTCACAGGGCCAGGAATAGATCAGCGCAGCAAAGCCTCACCTCTCTGTCCCGCTCTGTTTTGGACAGCCGCATGTGCCGCAGCATCTGGGACCTCTGCTCCATCATCAGAGTGCGCTCGTAAGTATACGCTGATATGTCACTGTCATGCTGCCACAGACAGCACACCGAGGAGGCAACAAGCACAGAGAAGAAAGATGAACTATTCATCTCATGTCAGCTCACTACTAAGTTTGACCAGAGTGGGAACACAAAGCTGAGTAAGTTTCGCCCCTAATTTTACTCAAGTATTGACCCATGTAAGTACATTGGTGTGAGTTATAGATAACGTCTAGAGGCTACAAAAGTCTTTACTATTTATCTTGGGATTACATATTATATGTTTCCTTGGAAACTCTGGTCTGTTTGTATTTTGTTTTTAATACTATCAGGTTAGAAAAAAAAGAGTTCAGGGGTGATTTTACACATGGACTGATGCATTAACAAAACTGCTTAAAGTCTTTAAAAGAAATATAAAGACTGTTAAAGAAAAAGCAAAACAAAAATACATCACATCAGAGACACATTCTACTCATCTAGGCCAACATACTATGGCTTTGCTGGAACTAGGAGACTAATCTACAGCCCTCAAACCAAAAAGCTGCTGGGAATACGAAATCGGGCACAGGGCATCCGCGTTCTTGGCTCTCGAAGCGGGTTTCTCACCATCTCCACCACTTCCACTTCGGCCTCAATGCGCAAGTGGTAGAGGAAGGTGGCCAGGTCCTTCTTCATCTGAATGCTGTTGTCCTCCAGCTGGGCGACCGTGAATATTCGTATGTTACACTTCCGCCAGACCTGAGGGCGTGCCACACATATATGGACAATGAAATACAAGAAGGCAAAAAAGAATGATTTTCTAGAGCATGAGGCATTCTAGCTTAGAACCTGAGCTTTGAACGGGTTCTTCCCAGTTCAGTTAGACTGGGAGGAGACAATTGAACAGACCTGGGATGAGAACCAGACTGGGAAAGTGCTAGGTGGGTGCCTGCTAGGAACATCATTTCTCTTAGGACACAATGGCAGCATGTATGTTGCAAAGGATCCAAATCTCTCCATCGGCAGAGTTGGAAACAATGGTGCCTGGCTCAGAGATGGGGGTCCCCCTGTGCTGCTTTGAAAGTGTGCCATTCTCCACTGTCCTGGCAAGGACACAAATGTGCAGCCAGGCTCTTGTAAAGGCTCATTCTACCTCTTCAAAGCCCCTGTTCCTGGGCTCCAACCTGTAATGTTCCTGTTTCAGTTATCATCCCTCTACATCCGTATTTAACAAAGAGGGTTTGTTCTAATTTCAGAGCATCATCCATACTGAACCAGTTCAAACCGGTGTGAAGCATGCTGAGAGCACCCTTGCTATAGTCCCATGCTACTTACTCCTGGCATTGTACTTATTATATATGGGGGGGGTATGTGTGAGGACAATACACGCCTAAATATGCAACACATTATGCTGAGCAGCAGTTCTCAACCTATGGGTCATGAACCCTTTTGGGGTTGAACGACCCTTTCACAGGGGTCGCCTAAGACCATTGGAAAACACAAATATTTCACAATTACATATTTTTTGTGATTAATTACTATGCTTTAATTACGTTCAATTTGTAACAATGAAAATACATCCTGCATATCAGATATTTACATTATGAATCATAACAGTAGCAAAATTACACTGATGAAGTAGCAATGAACATAATTTTATGGTTGGGGGTGGGGGTGTCACCACACATGAGGAACTGTATGAAAGGGTTGCGGCAGTAGGAAGGTTGAGAACCACTGAAGTAGTGTTTTAAGGAGTTCCTTAATTTCACAACAACTGGTCAAAAGAAAATATGGTATGGGATACTTTAAGCCAGTGGTTCTCAACCTGTGGGTCAAGACCCCTTTGGCGGGGGTGGGGGGTGTCAAATGACCCTTTCACAGGGGTCGCCCGATTCATAACAGTAGCACAACTACAGTTATGAAGTTGCAATGAAAATAATTTTATGGTTGAGGGGTCACCACAACATGAAGAACTGCATTAAAGAGTCATGGCTTAGGAAGGTTGAGAACCACTGCTTTATGCCTATTGAGTTAATTTTGACTCATAGCTGTCCTATAAGGCAAAGTAGAACTGCCCCATAGTTTCAAAAATATATAAATTTTTTTCCCTCCCAAAGAATATACATCTTTACAGAAGCAGCAGACTGCCGCATTTTTCTCCAAGTGGGGAGCTTATCCAGATGAGGAGTCCTGGGGATTAGGCTCAGATCCACCAAATGCTCTGCAGGAGACAGATGAGGCTACGTGTTCCTGTAAAGAGTTACCATCTCAGAAACCCTAAGGAGCAGTTCTACTGTGTCCTGTGTGGTCACTGGGAGTTGGGATAGACCTGATGGCTGTGGATTTTTATCCAGACACCATGCAGATTATAATATTTAGCACCTCAGTCTAATCAGTCTTACTAAAGGATGAGCATATGTGTATGTGTGATAAAAGTACACACACTGTAGTTACGTGTGATTCAAACACACATTAATTACACATATTCTTACATTTCCAGTATTTGGGACTCTTAACGTCTTTTTAACTTTTTTCAAGGATGTGTATACTGTTTACTGTTTTTCCCAATGGCTCATTGGGAAACTGTGTAAGTTTGCTTTCTTTTGGAGATGGGTAGATATCAAATACAAAGAAAACTGTTTCTCTTAAGTTTGAAACTGGGACCACACAGAGCCAAGAATAAGTCTCAACTCTTTCAGTTTGTTTGGTGAACCAGGAAAGGGGGTAAGGAAGAAACACATTTTTTAAAAAGCTGCTTAAAAATACCTTGTGCTGTTTGAGTAGGAACGGCAACAGCATGAGCATGCCCCCATCATGCACAATCCACCACACATCAATGTTGCCCTCGGAAAACTGCTCCACGTTGCTGGGAAAGAAGGAGATGTTCTTGGCCACAAGCAGAGCAAGATGGGCAGCCGTCGTCACTCGAACTGTGCCTGGGAGGGGGGAAAAGGGAGAAGCAGGATAAGTAGGGGAAAATTCCCACGGTTGGCTTGCTTCTGAGAACTGAACACACTACTATCAGGCTATTCCAACTCAGAGTGAAGACACAGGGGAGAAAACAACTATTCCATAAGGTTCCCAAGGCTGTAATGCTATTTGGAAACATTCTGTCTCATCTTCCTCCTGTGGAATGGCTGGTGAGTTCGAGCTACCAACTTTCCAGTGAGCAGACAGATGCTTAACCCGCTGTACCACCAGGAAGGATCCTTATATTCTGGTTGCTCCTGATAACCCTCCCACCACGTCAGGAAAAAAAGATAACCCTGTTCCGATTTCTTCCAGCATAAGAAATCCTTCGTAGTGTGGGTTACACCACATGGATGGATGATTTTGAAAACACCCTAAATAGCCAAGAGACTTAGACTTTAGACTGACAGTCATGGTTTATGTTAATTTCTAAGGAATCTTATGGAGGATATGTGAGTTCAGATTTCTGTAGGCAAACTTTTCAATGTGAGCATGTCAATATGGGCAAGAATAAATCAAAACATGGCAATTTTAGGGGAGAAGCCCTAGTGCAAGACTTGGTGGGAGTGGGTAGGGCCAGGTTAGCATTGCTCATAATTATATGAAAATATCCCAAACCCCACCAGTTGTCACTGACATGATTCCAACCTAGGGTGACTTCATGATTGTTGGACCAGAACTGTGCTCCGTAGCCTTTTCAGCGGCTGCTTTTTCAGGAGGATCACAATACTTTTCTCTGTGTGGGCTCAACCTGCCACCCTTCTAGTTAGCACCCAAGCATGTTAACATTGCGTGCAACCCAGGGACCCACTGCTTTATATGCAAGTGAAAGCTGGACAATGAGTAAGGAAGATATAGCATCGAATTGTTGCATTTAAATTATGGCGTTGGCGAATATTGACCATACCATGGACTTCCAGATGAATGAGTGTTCTTTAGAAGCAAGGATGGTGAGACTTTGTCTTACATACTTTGGACATGGTTATGTGGAGGGGCCGGTCCTTGGAAAAGGCTATCTTGCTTGGTAAAGTAGATGGCCAGTGAAAGAGAGGAAGACCCCCACTGAGCTAGAGTGACACAGTAGCTCAAACATAAGAGTCTCATTCTGTTGTACACAGGGTCGCTATGAGCTGGGACAGACTCAAAGCATCTAACAATAACCTAACAGTAATAGCAGTCTCTACTTTAGGAGGCTGGGAGTGGGCCAAGGTGATGGTGCTTTATTTAGGTCCTGAGAATAGGCGTGAGAAATGCTCTGTACCAATAAAAGTCTTCCATGCTCGAGCATCTTCACTCTGGCGCCAGCCATTAGGCCAACCCATCACCACTGTGTTGTGCTTCATGCCCCCAAGGCCACATGATTGGATGAGGTGGGAAATGCCCTCTTTCAACTTGGCTGCCACAACCAGCTGGCAGAATCCTTTCACCTTCTCTGCTTCCATTAGGTGCTTTATGGTCTGAAAAAGACACAGAATCTCAGCACAGAATTGCTTCCCCTGTCTTTAACTAATTCCTTCTCTACACATATTTCCCTCTTTTAGAAGACCCGATCTGCATGACAATTCAAAAAGCTAATTATTCCAATGTAGTCCGCTTTCTTTTGTTTTCATTTTTCAAATGCTAAATGCCTATCTGGAGAGCTATAAAGGGGTTGTCTACATTTTCTTTCTTTGCCTTTTTTGAGTGATTCTGCTTCCTTCCTTGGAACCTACCTAAAGCTTGAGGGCGGAGGTCTCAGCACAGTGAAGAGTCAACATTCTTTATGTGCTGACCGAGTTAATTTAAGTTACTAGTGTGAGCATGACTGCCTCTTCCTTATTCTGTCCATTATGCCCATATGCAGATGTGATAAAAACATTAAATCTGATATAAATAAAATCCCTTTACATTTTCTCAGGTATATTTTCTTTTTACTTTCTTCATAATCCATCTCCATTCTGACATTTTAATGGTGATTAATGATGACGCCTGTTAATGCTTTTATTGCATCAAATTTAACCCACTGTGGAGACATTCTCTCATTTACCCGGACTCCGCCCTCCTAGTAAAAAGGGAGGGATGATTTTTCCCAAGGGCAAAGAATAAGCCAGTAGTGCATCCAGGGTAAGCAGCAAGATTTCTTGATTTATTTATTAATTTCTGCCATCATTCTGGATGAATGCTTATTCAGTACTTCCAGTTTCAAAACATTCTAATATCCATAAAAATGTTTGACATTTTTTAAGTTTGAAATTTCTTCAAACCAAAGGGCTAACACTATCAATTCTAGTGAGTATGCGAGTGAAAACAACTTCTTATTCCAGCGGAACTTTCATATTCAGTAGCACCCACTGCCATCCAGTTGACCCCGACTCTCGGTGCTCTTTCTCCTGGACCACAGCAGACCGCCACATCTTTCCCTTGTGGGGCTGCTGCGCTGGCTGAACACTTACAACCACCACGGTCCTAATATTCACCACAACAAATTGCAACTAGCAAAGAAGTTAATTTACAATACCACGTATATTGTTAAGAAGAAGAAAAAAAGTTGCTTATTATCCTCTTCATAAGATTAAGAAGAGCCCTCTCCTCAAAATTTGGAGAAATTTTTTTCTATCACTTTCTCAGTGTTCAGAGTCAACATTTGAAGCCTATTTGGCTATAATGCTTATCCTCGATACATGTTAACAACATGGCAATGTTGTAAATGGGAAGAAAAAGTAAGTTACTATCTTGTGACCCATTTCCTTTATTGGGGAGGTTACGGCCATTCAAAAGTCTGTACTACCCACAAAGAGAAACCTCCTATCGCTCAGGAAGAACTGAGAAAACTATAAGCTTACTTTACTTCCCCCACTACAACAATAAGCCTGGTCTCTTACCTGCTCAGCAGCCAAAGCCTCACCATAGTTCTCTAGGAAGTTCCCCACAATGACAGAGCCCACAATTGTGAGACCCTTTCCTGCCTTGAGCTGTGAGGCAAATGTGAGGAGGCGAGGATGCTTGACGTGTAAGTCCTCATCCAGTTTCAGCAACACAAGCAGCTGAGGCCTGTAAAGAGATTGGTGGGGGAGGAGAGGTGAGCAAGAATACACTCTAGTGGAGCAACAATTCTTCCCTTTAATTGAGGACAACTGTATAAAACATATTGACAGAGTAAAGATGTGAGAGGATTTAAGAGGATGAGAACTGAGATTTAATGTAAACACTCCCAGTATGATCTCATATTGATCCATTGTCAAGTAAGAATAAAAAATGGGAGACACATAAATCATAAATTATATGAAGAATAGAGAATCAAGGCGTCAAAGATCTGGGACAGTTTTAAATAGGTCCATTACACAATTCCTTGAGCCACACGACCTCTATCCTATAAAGCAAGGATGGGCGCGATTTTATGTGTTAACTTGTGCCACACACCACTGAGCTCTGCTGAGTTCTCTACCTCCAGTTTTTAGTGTGTGGTGGTCCTTCCTCCAGCCGAAGCAAAGCAAATCGGGCTGCGCTAAGGGACAGCCCTCGGATGCCATCACCCCATTCTTTCTCAGCTCTGGGAGGAAAAGGAGAAAAAGAGCAGAGAGACTTAAACTACAGCAAGTATAACTTCAAAAAAAATCATGCTTACTTCCCCAATTGTAAAAGTAACACATGCCCAAGGTGTATTAATGATGTGTATAACACTTTTCAGTAAGATAAGGCACCCACTGGATTATAACATATTAATGATTGTAGTTAGAGTTCTTCAGTAAGATAAGGCATCCACTGGAAGCAGACTGACATGACCCTTTACCAACAGCCTACATGAGCAAGGAGGTCAGGACAAAGGCAGAAAGGATCATTCACCTGGTCCTTTTAAAAGCAAAAAAATGTAAAACAGTAATTTAGATTAAGAAATTAATAGAGACCCAGGATTAAATTAACGTGAAAATCCAGGGAGAAAGTAAAACTCATGCAATCTTCAGAACAGTGTTTTCTTTCATTTTTGGATATTGTTAGTAAAGTGTGAGCTGTTTACAAAGCCTTTCAGGATGAATTTTGTTTTCATTTTAGAAGTAAACAGGAAGACTGAAGAGATAAAAATAATTATGTGTTACATTTTTAAAGTACAGATTCATTGTACATTGGATAGCCCACCCCCTTTAATTATTTCATGCTTTCTGAATGAGTTCCCTGTTTAATGAAAAGCTGACATGTGTAATATGAAGTAGCATTGCTCCAGAGGGTTTCCTGAGCCATCGTCTTGATGGGGCCCTATCACCAGCTCTCTTTTCTCACAGAGTGGCTGGTGGGTTCAAACTACCAACCTTTTGGTTAGCAGCTAAGCACACACCCACCGAGTAGCTAACATTTAGTTAGGGAAGGATGAAATTACATGAGCCCATCATATAATTTTCACTAGGCTGGTTCTATGAGTCAGAATGGATTCGATTGCAGTGGGCTTGGATTTTTGGTTTTGGCTCTGACCAAACTAGATACATTTAGAGTGACTAATGACAAGCCACAGTTTGTCTGTATTACTATAGACTCACCCTTGGTACTCGATGTACTTATAGATCATGCCAGCTATCACCATGGCTACAATGGCATAATACCAGGAAGAAATGAACATCAGGGCCAGACAGATGCTCATTCCCATAAAAGAGAGGGTCCTAGAAAAGTAAACACAAGCAAACAATCAAAAAAGGTCTTTCTAAGCACTTGGAAAAAAGTGCGCTAGAGGAGTGCTTCTCAAACTATCTGTAGTTAGAGACCATTCAACTTCCCCCGCCCCCCCAAGATAGTGCAAAGAGATGCTTTTGTAAAATTCAATACAATAATTTATAAGAAAATTTACCACTTGCCTGGATACGAGGTAAAATTATGAAAGAAGTTTCTAATTATTCATTCTCAATTACTGTACTTGCTCTATCGTGGCCTAGCAACAAACAATAAGCAGAACTACACTAATTCACAAGCCAGCTTTGCTGCAGGATGTTCCTCGCTGCTTGGAAATGTGCATAAGCGCATGGGAGGTTACGAAAGGTATCTGTGGTTAGGCGGAGGATTCACACTTGCTTGGCAAGACAGAGAGAAGGCAGAAATTTAGTCAGACATGCGACCCATTCCCCAGTCTCAAAAAAATGGTTTCATATTCCTCAAACTGTTGTAAACCTCTATTAACATAGCTGCAGAAATACGAAAAACTTGTCAGTAGAATTCATATTTTACATAAAAGAAATGACAGGTGATAATTAAGTGCTTGTTTTGTTGAAGAAAAAAGAAAAGATAGGTAGACAAAATTTACTAAAGTTCTCCTGTGTAAAGAATGAACTCCCTAGTTATATGATTTCTATAGGATGAGCAGGAAAATTGATAATCTAGAGACAAGTAGGGTCAAATGAAAAGACAGAACACAAAATAACAGAAGTAAAATAGCAACAACACAAAATGTTCATAATGACTTTAACTTAACAGGCTAGACAGAGAGGGTCAGAGATCTAAAAATCAGCTGGAAATTTTCATTTTCAGTCACTGCCCACTATCAGCAAGTGAAACTGAAAATGAGTTGAGAAGTTAGCTAAGAGGCACGTGCCTACAGGTACACATTAAAAAAATCCAATCTCACTGCCATTAAGTTGATTTTGACTCAGCTGCTAACTGCAAGATGAGTGGTTTTAACCCGAAGAAGGCACCAAACTGGCAAGATTCACGCTATAGTTATCTTTATTCTAAGTGAGCTCTTAAAGGTCATTATAAAGCAGCAAAGAAATGAAGTGATGGTGGAGTTTTAAGAGAATACTGAAAGCTGAAACAATCATCATAGAATGGCCGATCAAAAACAAAGTTACTGAGAGAGAGCCCAGGCCTCCTCGTTTTCTAGAACATTGATGCATTCTCTTCCAACATGGAAACGGAAACGGCACACTCACCAGTGGTAGTACCGGAACCGGGGTCTCCAGTTGGGGGTTCGAAGCAATGTCTGCAAGGCACATGCCAGGTTCACAAAGAGGTAGCACATGAGAAAAAACCTAGAAGAACGCGAGCCAGAACACAATTATTACTATAAAATGCATCTTCTAGGGTTATTTAAAACAACTAGAGCTCTTTGCGGCAAGTCTGTTTCCAGACCACTCATCTTTGACTGGGTGGCAAAAATAATAATCACGCAATTTCTAGCCGAAAGGGTAGTTTGATCCTACCTAGAGAAGGCTTGGAAAAACCATCTGGTGATCTGTGTCCAAGAGGTCACAGCCTCGCAAACTCTAAGGCAGAGTTCTACTCTGCAAAAACGGGGTCGCCATGGGCTGCAATGAACAGCACTTGACGAAGTCCAGGAAGTCGAAACACGGTATTGTCCATTGCCTCCTAAGCATGTGAGAGTTGGACACTGAGTCACAAAGACCCTGGAAGAATCCATGCATTTGAACTGTGGTGCTGGAGAAGAACATTAAAATTTCCACGGGATAGTAAAAGGGCAAACCGATCCATCTTGGAAGGAGGACAGTCAGAGTGCTCCTTGGAGGCAAGGATGGCAAGTCTTCCTCCTGCCTTCTTTGGACATACTGTCAGGAGAGAGCAGTCCCTGGAGAGGACACCGAGCATGGAAAGTGGAGGGGCAGCGGAAGAGAGGGAGGCGCTCCACAAGAAAGATGGATGGACAACAGTGGTCACAACCATGGGCTCAGACACAGGTACAATCAGTTGTGAGGACGGTGCAGTGTTTTGTCCCATTGTACACCGGCTCACTATGGATCAGACCTGACCCCATGGCACCTGAGAGCAGGGAGTAGAGAAACCGAAGTCTTTCCAGATGAGCTTCCTGGGCTCTCTCTCCGCCAGTCCTTGGGCTAATCCTAGTTTGCGGTTTCTTACTCACCCCTCTGCAAATTTCACTGACTTAATTAAAACCTCTGAATGTCTTTTTCCTTCCGCTTTCTACTGCTGTGTCTTCTCCGTTCAAGCTCTCATTTCTTTTTTCCTGGATTAGTCACATAAGCTTGCAACTGGCATGCCCAGCTCAATTTTTGTGTCTCTCTAACCCATGTTGTAACCCAAACTGATCATTCTAAAACACGTATGTGATCATCTTGCTCTCTCCCATAAAGGACTACCCACCATTTCTAGGGCGAAGTTCCAGGTCCTTTGTGAACTGGCTCTAACATACCTGGCCTGCTACTCACCAACCTGTGCCTCCACTCTAGCCAAGGCAAAGCACTTTCATTTCTCTGAATGTGCTACATTATTCTACTCATCAATTCCTCATCACGTGCCCTCTGTATAGAACATCCTTCTCACTTCTTCACTTAGCCAAGCGGTCATCCTTGAAGATACAAGTGGCACTTCCTCCATAAAACCTTTCTTGACTGCAAGTCTGTTTAGTTGCCTCCCTTTAGTTTCCATGTAGCACCCACTGTTCTCCTTAATCACAGACTCACAACACTATATGGGGATCACTGGTTTCCTTATTACCATCAGTTCCCCAGACTGTTCCTTATTCAACTTTGTATTCACAGCCTAGTGCAGTGCCAGGGAAGTAGTAACTCATCCAGCAAGAAGACCTGAATGGTGCAACACAAATAGTAGCAGTGAAAGCTATAACCGAGTGATACTAAAGTAGAAATGAAGACAAAAATCTTTTAAGGTTTGCAGGCAGGAAGAAAGTGATAATTTATGAAAGTTGGATGTAAGTGAAGTGTCTCCCGTATTTACTACTTAAAGGAAACTTCCTCTATTTATGACCCACTCTTGTTATCACTACTACTGAAAACACACATATTTATAATAAGTCATTTTAGCAAGAATATCTGGGGGAAAGAAGGTTGCCGCTTACATGGAGAGGATGGGAGCCACAAGGTCCAGGGAGGCAATAAGGATCCCCAGCTCTGCAATGGCAGCAGTCAGAAGTAAGGCCCAGGTAGGCTCCCCATTGGCTTTGCTGTGACCAAAAACCTGCACAGAAGGGAGATATCAAGCATAGAAGTATGGGAAATACTGAGTCAATGTCCCCAATTCCTCGACCCTACAGGTAATAGTGTTTTCTCTCCAATGTCTTTACCGCACTCTTACAGGAACTCCGACCAGGATTTAAAGAACTCTGGTCTAAAGCCCCATGTTCTCCATATTATGCAATCTAGTGTTTCCCAACCCATCGTGTTTACATAAAAGCTAGGAAAGGGGGAAGAGGGCATACAGAAGAGTCACTTACCCTAAGAAACGGGATGATGTTATCCTTGGCAATCGCCTGTAGCAGCCTTGGTGCACCTGTGAGGCTCTGAAGTCCAGCTCCACATGTTGAAAAGAAGGAGCCAATGACAATCACCCATGGCGAGGGCCAAGATAAGGTGCCCACCACCAAATTACCTTTCACAGCATCCCCAAATCTGGGAGGAAAATAAGAGTGAGGAATTTGATCTACAAATAGCTTTGGATTTAAAGACTAGAGATACTTTCACCTAATTTCAACCATTTACAATGTGCAGACAATAAAAATTGAGATGGATTTGATCCAAAAAACCCCCACAATTATCCTTATAAGAAAAAAGTCTGTCAAGCCAGATTTCTTCAGAAGATACATGGTCTCATTTACAGCTTTTTCCTCAGATTTTCTCTTTGTAAAAGGTAGAAAAGTGCAGAATAATACCAAAAAAGCAGAATTGATAAATTTAACATAGCTATTAAGATTTTGCATGTTTTCTTTTCATTTGCTTACTGAATGTTAAAAATATAGTTGAGATAATACTGAGCCTATATAATTGCATATTCTTTTACAAGTTAAAAATATTTCCTGTTATAACATAAAAACTTGAGTGGCCTAAATATTGCATCTTGATTTATAGCATCCATTATTCTAATCTTGGTTTTCTATTACAGAAAATGTTGAATTTAACAGTTTCTTGCAAATACAGATGTTCATCTAGGAGCTTCATATATATTTCTTTAAATCATTCTAATGGGGGCTTGTACAACCCTTATCACAATCCATACATACATCCATTGTGTTAAACACATTTGTACGTTTGTTGCCATCATCATTTTCAAAACATTTTCTTTCTACTTGAGCCCTTGGTATCAGCAGCTCATTTTTCCCTCCCTCCTTCATGAACCCTTGATAATTTATAAATTATTATTAGTATTTCATGTCTTACACTGACCGATGTCTCCCTTCACCCACTTTTCTGTTGTCAGTCCCCCTGGGAGGGACAAATCCAGCTAGACCAGAGCATGTACACGGGTACAGATCAGGGGTGGAAACACAGGGAATCCAGGACCTATAAACCCCTCAGGACCCATACTGAGGGTAAAGGAAGGTGAGGGGGAAAAGGGGAACTGTATATTTTTACAAATAGCTCTTAATGTAGAGGGAAGTCCTAAATATTCAGGAAAATCCACTGCTTTATTAAAGACCCCTATTCATGGCCTCTCACATATGAAGGGGCTTCACAGTTTGTGGAAAAATTCCGTTATTCCGTGAACGTCCTGGCTCTTATTATCCATTACCTTTCTGATTATGTATAGGACGTACTTGGGGCATGGGATCAGGCGAGAGCACAGAAAAGGACCGCGTGCTTGGTAAAGTAGGGGTCAGCGACAAACAGGAAGACCCTCCACAAGATGGGCTGACACAGTGACTACAACAATTGGTTCAAAATACACAAACAAAACAGCAACAATGGGCTCAAGCAACAGTTGTGAGGACGGTGCAGGACGCTGGGCAGTTCATTCTGTTGTACATAGGGTTGCCATAAGCTGGAACCGAGATGGGGGTACCTAACAACAGCAATTAATATTTATCAATGAAAGAAATCCTTTTTAATTAAAAGATAATTTTATTGGGGCGCTTACATACATCAGTTGTATCAAGCATATTTGTACATATGTTGTCATCATTCTTTTCTAGACATTAACTTTCTATCGAGTGCTTGGTATCAGCTCCTCTTTTCCTACCCCACCCCACCCTGGTGATCCCTTGATAAACTACTAATTATTATTTTCATATCTTACACCTACCGCTGTCACCCTTCCCCCATGGTTTCTTTTGTTCGTTCCCCTGAAGGGGTGTGTGTGGTTATGTCAATCATTACGATTTGTTCCTCCTTCTTCCCCTTCTCTCCCCACTTTCCCCTACCCATTTAACAGTACTATTTCCATTCCCTTTCCTGGATTCTGTGGGTTGTGAGCTCTTATCTCGTATCTGTATTTGCACTTGCTCCAGTCTAACTCAAAGTGAAAGGCAGTACTGGGGTCATGATAGTGGGGGGTAAAGAAGCCTCAAGGAACCAGAGGGATATTATGTGTTTCATCAGTGCTTTACTGCACCCTGGTTGACTCATCCCTACCCTGCTACCCCTTTGTGAGGGAATGTCCCATTGTCTACAGATGGGCTTTCTTCGTTCTCAATAATATGATTTGTTCGTTCGTTTATGGGTCTTCAGATGCCTGTTACCCAGTCCCAAGTACACCTCATGATTACACAGATTGGTGTGCTTCTTCCATGTGGGCTTATTGCTTCTCTGCTAGACAGCTGCTTGTTTAACTTTAAGCCCCAAACGCTATTTCTTTTGATAGCCAGGCACCATCCACTTTCTTCAGCACATTTGTTTATACACCCATTTTGTCGTCAGTGATTGTGCCAGGAGGCTGAGCATCACAGAATGCCAGTTTGTTAGAACTAAGTGTTCTTGCATCAAGGGAGGCCATGAGGAGAGGCTCGATATTGGTCCACTACTTCAGTGTATTGCCATATAAATATATGTACATGGGCCAATACCTCTATTTTTATGAACTAATGTATTTACATAGGTACCCACCTATGCTTATATCTCTATCCATAGCTTTGCTTCCTAGATCTTTCCTCTGTTTCCTTTTACCTTCCTCTTGCCCCACCATCAAGCTCACCCTACTTCTGCCTCTTACTAATTCCTCTCAACTAGATTAATGTTTCTCCAACACCTCCAGGATATCTACATCCTCCTTGTTGATTTTAATTCCCTAGTTGTTTCCCTGCCTATAGCGTTGTTTGCTCACTGCTCCCTTCCCCACCTCCTTCTTCCCTAAGTCCCTCTGGGACCATTGGTCCCATTGCTTTCTCCCCAAGCTTGCTTCGCATGCCTATCTTGCAGCTCATGATAAATGTTCCATTGGGCTTCTGAGTTAACTGTCTTGGGGCTGGAATAATCAGACATCAAGAAGACAGATACAGGATTATTATAAGGAAAACTACTTACTTGTCTCTAAGAACAACTCCTTCAATACATGCACCAAAAAGGACAACATTGCTTAAATCTATACCAAAAGTTAAGGAAATTGGCATTCATCCTTAAGATGGTACAGAAAATTTACACTCAAGATAGTCTTTCTATCATGAACATGAGTTCCTAGATTTATTTATCTAATAAATTAGTTCTTGAATTCTCTGTTTGGGGACGAGGAGGGTAAATTATTTGGTGAAAGGGGTGGTGGTATAATGCAGTTATCACAATTATCAGGGTAAAAACAGTGATTGCCGTAGTTCTACTAGAGGTTCCCATGACTAGAACTCAAACGGCATTTGTAAAAAGGATACAGACAAAGGAGGTGGTCAAGATGGCAAGGATAGTGCCGATGGGAATAGACTTCTGAGCGTCTTTCAGATCGCCAGACCGGTTTGATCCAGCCATGATACCTTTAGAGAAGAAAAGACCAAGTTAACTTTTTGAGTTCATGGACACTTCATATGACTAATGATATCAAAGACTAAGTGCATCTAGGAGCCCTAAGAAAATAACCTGTCTCCTAAGAAAAACTACTGCCCGAGTTTGACAGCTCCTAAAATAGTCGCAGCTCAGATGCTTACCTGTGACAGAGGGAAAGAAGATCCCCACCAGAAGAGTGAAGGAGGTGGTGATGTCAGCAAGAACATATTCATGATTCAAGCTGCCTAAGACGTCAGAAGATTTGGCTGAGGGTTTTTCAATGACCTCTCCTTTTAGTAGGTAGCTACTCCAAAGATTCTCTGCAGTGGAAAAACAGCAGGGCATCCATCCTTCAGATGAGATAGAAAGCTGACACTCAAGGACAGAGGGAGGTGGGGTTGGGGTTGTAAGCAATAGCAGTGGAAATAAAATAATTAGGTAACTTTCTCATCAACAGAGTTGTAAAAATGATGTACTTCTACAGGTACACAAACTTACCACACAATAAAGCACACAGAAATAAAAATTGAATGCTCCCTTTTATCTGGTCCTAAATAGAATTTAACAATATGATCTGGTAAACAGACAACCAAATTAAGCTGCCAAATAAATTAGTAATAAGTTAAGCAGACTAAAGCCAAATGTTCAGGAAAGTCTATAATAATAATAATTACTATTTTCATTTCATTTTATTGAGCTACAATGACCACATCATACAATTCAATAGCTCAATCGTATTAAGAAGGGTTGTGCAATCACCACCACAATCAACCAAGGAGTATTTTCTTCCTCCTCCTACCTACTGGTATCGACTTCTCCTTTCCCCCACCCTCTCCTCTCATACCCCCAGGCAATTATTATTTCAGTTACTGTCTTCATAAACCCTGGCTTCCCTATACAGAAAAACACATGAAACAAGGACAGTGAACAGGACCCAGCAACAATGACCAGTATTATTTTTAACACAACTGTATACACTTGTTTATGGGCAAAGGCATTTGTGAACCAAACATTTCAGACGGAAGTCTCTTAAGAAAAGAGTTGCAGAGGGGGGGAGCTGGGAGGGAGAGGAAAAAATGAGGAGCTGATACGAAGGGTTCAAGCAGAAAGCAAATGTTTTGGGAATGATGATGGCAACATACAAATGTGTTTGACACAATGGATGTATGTATGGATCATGAGAAGAGTTTTAAGAGCCCCCAATAAAAGATTTGGGGGAAAAAATAATTGTGGAAATTTAGCTGAGTCAGGAAAACATAAGTGGTGATATAGTGACATTAAAACTGTTCTATTCAGTAATAAAATCCAAGATCAGAAGGGGGATTTGTATTAGTTTTAAATTCTGAGCACTCCGGTTTACCAAAAGCTACTTATCGATGACAGTGCAAACCCAAAATTCAATTGCAGAGTCCCCACTCTGATGAAGCCTCCATTGAACTCCCTGAGACCACTGACCAGGGATGTGAATGGACTTGCACCCTCAGACAAGAGGAGATTGGAAAGTGGACTGCTGCAGGTAAAGTTTGGTAAAAATTGGTTTCCCCATTTGACCCATTTTAAATTTTTTCCAGTTCCTATTATCTTTTGCTTACTTTTGGATTGAGGATTTTGTGTGTTTTATTTTGTTGTCATTGTTGGTTTTTTTGGTATGGTAATCCATAGAGAGAGTAACTAGATTAATAGTTCTTTAGGGTTATGGCAATGAAGAAAATGCTCTAAAATTAATTGTGGTGATTACACAAGTCTTAGTAATATACTTAAACTGCTCACTTATATGGTCTGTGGCTTATACTCCAATAAGACTGCTGAAAGACACTGAGGAGAAACAAGCTGGAAAAGCAGAGACAGATGGTTAGACACGTGAAGAATATAATCAATGTCACGGAATTGTACCTGGAGAAATTGTTGACCTGCTGTATGCTCTACATAGTCTCAGCACAATGAGCTTTTTAACAAGATGTAAGTTAGTTCCATTCTACATGTTGCTGCAGAAAGAACACTGCAATTTGAGAGAATGAGAGGGGGTACCCAAAATAAACGGATAAAAAGCTCCCCTAGGCGGGGCTTTTGTAGTACACATTTTTCCTGCTAGACAAGCCTCCAGCACCCACTGAGTTAGTGCACGCAGGGACGCCGCCTGCGAAGGTTCTCTCTGTTCACAGTGAATTTCTCTTAATAACTTTCTTTAAAATTCAGTTTCACTCAAACCTCATCTTTTGTGATGGCCGATTTAAGAGAACAGTGTGCAGCTATGAAATTTTGTTTCCTGCTCAGGAAAAATGCCACAGAAACTAGTGTTGTTGTTGAACTAGATGTTGAACACAGCTGACAGGGTCAGTGCTAAGGGGAAAACTCAGGTGTATGAGTGTTTTTCTCCTTTCAAAAAAGGTGAAATGTCAATTGATGACAAACCTCGTTCTGGACATCTGTCAACTTCCTAAATGAAGAAAAATGTCAACAAAATCCGTTGAAGAGACGGGGAAGTTATCTGGACTATCTTGGAGCTCAGCTCAGAGAATTCTAACAGAATTTTGGGGAATGAGAAGGGTCGCTGAGCAATTAGTGCCTCGTGTTCTGAGTGGCCAGCAAGAGGAGCATCGAGTGGAAACATGCGGTGCTGTGAAAGAACAGTTCTGAAGCGACCCAGCCTTTTTTTTCTAAGGTCATTACTGGTGACGAGACACGGTACTATTCATTCTTACAACCTTGAAAGTACACAACAATCAAGTCACCTTGCCCCCAAAAGCTCCTCAAGTGAAATCAAAGATCAAGATGATGCTCATTTGTTTTGTTTTTTTGTTGTGAGGGGGACAGTGCATTTGAAATTTGTTCCACCAGGTCAGACTGTTAATCAAGTTTTATATTTGGAGGTTGTGAGAAGATTGTATAACTGTGTGTGACAAAAAAGGCCTGATTTGTGGCAGATGGAGGACTGGTTTTGCCACCATAACAATGCACCTGCTCATGTAGTCATCTTGGTGAGCCAGTTTTTGGCAAAAAACAACAACAAACAAACCCAAAATACAAGCACACAGCAGGCCTCTTTTGACCCACACACTTTATTCCCTGTATTGTGTAATGGCGAGTACCTTGAAGGTGATATGTAAAAAAAGTTTAATACATAGCTTTGAAAAAAATCTGGGGCTTTTTTTTGGGGGGGGGATACCCCCTCCTACATAGACTATTTTATCATCTTGTCTTAGGTTAAAAAGCAATTTGCTCAAGTCTGCCCTCTAAAGGACGTGGACTTTAGCAGCCAGCACTTTATGAAAAGCAAAACTGAAAGAAACTCACTGCCATCCATTCAATTCTAACTCATGGTGACCCTGGTGGCATGGTGGTTAAAAGCACTGGGCTGCAGTTCAAAATTACCAACTGTATCCAAATGCCCACAGGAGCAGTTCTACTCTGTCCTTATAGGATTGCCACGAACAATCCACCGGGAAGTCTACAAAAAGTCTAACTGATATGAAAGTAAAACTACGTTGAAATAAGAGCCATATTCTGAGCTTAAGCAGGGAAGTAACATACAATGGCAGGGAGTCTCCCTGGTAACAGAAGAATCTATATGGATAATAGAGGAGTTCTCAGAGAACAGTTAAAAACTCACAAACAAGCCTGTAACTTACCTGTAATGATACCACTAGCCAATCCAGGAATGCCCTGAATTGAAGTGACATTATTGTGAACAAAATATTCATCGCAGGTGGCATTGAAGAACTGGCTTGAATTACAGAAGTAGCCCCACAACTTTGACGGGACTGTCATGTTGTTCATTTCCTTAGTCTTAGAGCAGACGTCAAGGTGTCTCGACGAAAGGGTCCGGTTACCCAGCATACAAACCCTAAAACAGGGAGAAATAGCAAGCAGGAAAGAGGTGACCTTAAAAGATATTAAAGAAGAAACCGCGCAGGCCTGTCTGCATAGGACAGGCTGGATGAACAATCTGGAGGAGAAAACAACGGGACTGACAGTTCCGGGGGGACATGGGAGAGGGGGAGGA